ACTTTTTTGAGGAGTTGTCCAAGTAGCCCACAATTGTAAGAAATGAAAATCATAAGTTCTTGATTGTGTGAACTGTTAAAGCAATGAAATATGCAAAAGAAACTTAAGGTATTTTGAAACCTTTAGAAGAAGATCATTGTTTTACTGAACCTGCTTATGTGAAAATATTTTAGATGCTAATTTTGGTACTCTTTGGTAAAGTACTCAACATTTATTAAAATTACATTGGCAGTAAAACTTTCTCTTTTTAAACAAAAAACTTCCTATAGTAGTTTAGATCTATTCAATAATACTAAAGCATAGAGTAGCTTTTCATTAATAGGCCTAGCTATTTTCTTTTTTTTTCTGATGATTAGAACTTTTTTCCTTATGGCATGAGGAAATAGGTCTTTGATTTAAGTGACAGATATTAGTTCCATACAGTTATCCCTACCAATGAGTTAACTAAGCGGAGAGTAGCAACAATCTTACTGCTTGTCTGGTGTTCCACAGTGGACCCCAGAGGGACCTTGATAGCTCATTTTAGGTAGTAGCAAGTTGAATTGGCCTGACAGCCTCACTGAGTTTATAGAGCACTGAGATGACACATAGCCCCTTTCCAGTGTAGGTGCTAACATAGTTGTGGTTTTCTAGTACTAGGAATGAGTCCTCTGGGAATTAACTGACAGTTGTGATATGAGGCACACGTTAAGGCATTTGAGAAGGCCCCCCATAAATAGTACCTCTCCTCACTTTGGGGAAAAGTTTTAGAACCTAATGGGAAATAGAGCTAGGCATTTGGGATAAAAATATTATATGTATCTCTATTGAGGGCTAGGGTGGAGGGTATAGCTTTTATCTGTAGACAAATACTTCCTTACATTGAACTCCACATAGAGAATCTGAGAAGCACTTTGCAGATGGACACCTATCCAAGAGGGCTAGATGAGAAAATAATCCTATGTGAGTGAGTCTGGGCACAAGGAAAAAGAGGGAGCTATTGAGTTCATACTGAGTTTATTTTTCTCATATTGGTCAGCTATGTGAAGCATTCCATTTCCTCCTGGGTAGAGTGAATAAAGGAAGAAAGAGAGGTTAAATGTGTTTCATTAATTTATTCAAGCACCTGGAAGGAACCATCAGGCTGGGATGGTAGCATTCTCCCCAATAGTCTTTCTGATAAGTATGTCAGTTTGAAGTTCAATTACCTCTTAAATCTCATTCTTAGCAACCTTACAATCCACACTATATGTTAAGAATAGAAAGATAACGTTGAGATTTTGACTTATATGTGTATTTATATATAAAGTTTTTTCCCCCCCCTTTGTAGATAGTCAAAACATGGAACTTGCTTTTAAAAATCTAAGCTGAGGGCCCTCCCTGGTGGCACAATGGGTTAGGATACAGCACTGCAAGCTGGTGGCAGCTGCTTCGGTTTGATTTCGATCCCCAGTCCTGGAGGTGACCACATGGCGTGGCAGACCTCTCCTGACCCACCTGCTGCTCCCCTCAGCAGTGTACTTTGTAGATCTGCTTGTTCTGCTCCCCACTTTGTCTCTGGTGAAGCCTGTCACCACCCTTGCACCTCTGGCCTGTACCCCAGTTCTGTATGAATAAATAAATTAAAAAAAAAAAATCTAAGTGAGGATCTCTGTCTTTTAATTAGTGTGTTTAGGCATTTATATTTAGTGTGATTATTGAGATGGTTGGATTTAAATTCATCATCTTGTAATTTTTGTTCTAGTTATCTTTCCTTTTTCTCATATCCTATATTTTGGATTCGTTGACTTTGAAATAATCATTTGCCATTGGTCTATAATACTGTATCAGTTTTCGGAGTATAGCTTCATAACTTAATATGTGTATATACTATACTGCACCCACCACAAAGTTCCAGTGACATTCAGACTATCAAATTAATACCCTCTACCCTTTTACTCCACCACCTTTGCCTTCCTCACTGGTAATCGACATTTTTCTCAGTCTGACGGTTATCTTTGTTGTGTTTTGTTAGTTCCTTCATTTTATTTATATCCACATGAATTTAACCTCTACTAGTTGCTTTAACTTTCTGACTTACTTCACTTAGCATAATCATCTCAAGGTCCATCCATGTTGCAAAAGGCAAGATTTCACCTTTTCCTTTCTTTAAACAGTCAAGTACTATCCCTTTGAGTATATATACACTACAATTTCTTTATCCTGTCATCTTTCAGTGCATAGTTAGGATGTTTGCCTATCTTGGCAATTGTGAATAATGCCATTATAAATTTGGGGGTGCATAAATCTTTGCAAATTAACTGTTTTCATATCTTAGGTAAATACCTAGGAGTGGAATTGCTGGCTGATATGGCATTTCTGCTTTTAATTTTATTGGAATCTCCATAGAGGTTGCATCACTTTACATTTCACCAACAGTTTCCAAGAGTTCCATTTTCTCCATATCTTTGCCAACACTTTTCCAATCTTCTTGATAAGGTTATTCTCACAGATGTGAAGAGATACCTCATTGTGGTTTTGATTTGCATTTTCCTTGTGATAAATGATGGTAAAGATACTTTTATGTACCTATTGACTATCTGATATTTTCTCTGGAGAAGTGCCTTTCAGATCTTATGTCCATGTTTTGATTGATTGTTTTGTTGAATTTATGAGTTCTTTATATATTGATAGTTTGGTTATTAATCCCATGTTGGATGTATGGTATACAAATGTCTTCCCCCAGTCAATTGACTTTAAGAATTCCATTTTATCTATTTTATTGGCTTACTATACATGAAAGAAAACTAACTTATCACAATTAACCTTCAAACAATGTTATAGAGTCATATGTAGTATATAATAACCTTACACCAGAATTTTTTTTATAATATTATAGAAGTTCATATGTATTATATAAGAATCTCATACCAGAAACATCCATTACTCTCCTCTAGACTCTTATTTCCTTGCTTGATTTAAACAATCTTAAGTTCTACTTTCTTAGCAAATTCTAATTATAGAATGTGGCATATCAACTATGATCATAATACATTACATTGTATCCTCCAACCTACTCATCTTAGAGCTGAAATTTCATCTCTCTGTTTCACCCAAACTTCATTTTTGTTTTTGAAAGGTATTTTTTTTTCTTGTTCAGTATAGATTTTTAAAAAAAATTTATTTATGCATACAAAACTGGGGTACAGGCCAGAGGTGCGGAGGGTAATAGGACCCACCAGAGACAGAGTGGGGAGCAGAACAGGCAGAACTGAAGAACACTGTTGAGGGGAGCAGTGGGCAGGTCAGGAGAGGTCTGCCGTGCCATGTGGGTCACCTCGGGGGCAGGGATTGAACTCATGCTGAAGTGGTTTTAGCTTCTTTGTTTTAGATTTCTTTATTTATGCATACAGAACTGGGGTACAGGCCAGGTGAGAGGATTCAGCAGAGATAGAATGGGGAGCAGAACAGGCAGATCGAGGAAATACACTGCTGAGGGGAGCAGCAGGCAGGTCAGGAAAGGTTTGCCTTGTCATGCCATGTAGATCACCTCCGGGTGGGCGGGGTTCGAACTCATGCTGAAGTGGCTTTAGCTTCATGGTGCTGTGCTGTAAGCCGCTGCGCCACCAGGGAGGGCCCAGGTTTAGATTTTTAAGTTGAAAAGTAATGTCTTTTAAAGATATTGTCCACTGTCTTCTTGTTTGCATTATTTCTGCTGAGAAGTCTGTCAGTCTTTTGCTACCCTTTTCATAACTTTAGCTTCCTTTAAGGTTTTTTCCTTACCATTGGATTTTAGTGCTTTGATTATGATGTCCCTTGGTGTGATTTTGCTTTGTTTCTTCTGATTGGGTTCATTGAGTTTCCTAAATCTAGAGTTACTAGTTTTTATGAATTTGAAACTTAACAGTAAATATTTCTTAAATATGTCTCAAGAATTTCTTATATAGTAACATCCTTCCTCCTGGAATCCCTCCATGGGGATTTTCATTTAATGTAGTTGTTTATCTCACAAATACTCTTTTTCCTTTTCTTTCAGTCTTTTGTGTTTATATTTAGTTTTTTTTAATTGCTAATTATTTTGTCTCTACATTCATTCACTAGTCATTTAGCTTGCAGTCTATCCTGTTAATCTGTCCAATGAATTACTAATTTAAGACGTTGTATTATTTATCATTAGAGTTTTGAGGGTTTTTTTGAATCTTTTATTTCCTTTATCCTGCTTCTCCTTTTCCTTAGTGTATAGATTTATGATAGCCATTTCAAAATATTTTCCTACTAATTCTGTTATCTGTGACATTTCTGTTGATTGAGATTTTCTTATGGGTCCTATTTTCTTGATTCTTTGCATGGTAGACATTGTAATATTACATTGTTGGGTACTGGAGCTATTTTGTCTTTTCAGCACTTTTGTGCAATTTTTTGGAAGAACAGATTAAATTGCAGGTACTTTAAGTTTCCTGGAAATAGTTGGAATCTTTTTGAGGGTTCTTAGCATAGTTTGGGTAGCCCAGAAGAGCCTGTAGTCCAGGGTGATTTGACTATACCACTGAGTCAGTTTTTCTTAAATGCCCCACCCAGATTTAGGTGGTCTTTGAATGATTGTTACCCTAATTATTGCCAGCGTTGTGTGATTTCTGAGGATAGTTCTGCTTGTAATTTATTATAATTTTAAAATTCTCTTTCAATTTTTATGTTAAGCTTAGATTGTGTGTTTTCCAGATTATTTTGGCCTGTTTATTTCTATTAAACTATGTCAGTAATCATGCTAGGTTTAGAGGTCAACAATTGACTTTAATAATAGTTTCATAATAATCTAAAAGAATGTTCACACCTCCTTATGTTAGATAGTTTTTATTGCTAATTGCTATTGCTTCAAGTTCACTAATTGTTCAGTATGCAAATTCCTAATACTTGCAGGGGTATATGATACCTTCTTGGTATCAGGTGTTTCTTTGCAATAGTTTTGAAGAAATGACATTTTCTCAGACTAAAGAGTCAACTTTTAAGCTTCTCCTTGCTCTGTGCTTGTTCTCATTCCCTAGGAAGAACGTGTGGTGAATCATATGGCAGCAAAAATTATTGAAAATGTCTGCACAACCTCTTCTCAGCAGGCCCAGGGCTTTATTACAGGAGAAATTGGACCTGTTTTATGGTACCTCTTCAAACATTCCACTGTTGATTCCCTTAGGATAACAGCAATATCGGTAAGATGGGGTACTTTTTGTGGATCTACTTGGGTATATTTAAACACCAAGTTTTAAGATATGTGCCAAAAATACAATAAACTTAATTGGATAGGTTGGAAACAAATCTCAGAGCAATAGTTGGTGATAACAATAACTTGATTTTATCCTAAAGTAGAGTTTTTAAAAGTGGGACTGGAAAACCTTAGGATGGTGAGGAAATTCCAGTAGGGCCTTGCAGCTCCTTCGCATGGAATACTGGATGGGAAGCCAGATTTGGTTGGGTATATTTTTAGCGTGCCCTCTCTTTCTTTGTTTGCTCCCTCAGTCAGCTTTTAGTGTGAATGGGTTTATCATGTGGTTCAAATGAATTTATTTCAATGTTCAGGATTTATGGTTTTGTAGTTTGATTGGCTCTCTACCACTTTGCTCACATGCTTTTAATGATTTGGTATAAAGGATAACTATGTATGAAGGTGTGTTAACATGGCTGTATCAATTTAATACTCTGTCGAACAAATACAACCCCTTCTTATAAGAATTATTTAAATACTCTTTTCAATTATCACTCTCATTTGGACTTTCAATGTGCGGTGGCATCTTGCTGTGTTTCTCTAGTCTGCTCATGCTTGCACTTAGCCCTGTGTGCAGCCTCATAGCTCACCCTCTTTGTTTAAGCCCCTCGTGTCCCATTTTCTTCCCGCATCCTCAGGAAATGATTTTCCCCTAATCTTCATAAAGGAAAATGAAGACATCTGGGAATTACCCCAACTTGCCTATTTTATTCACTGAATAAAATAGATATTACCAATTGTTTGAATGCTCAAATAGTCCTAGATTTTGCCACAGGATCCCTTCAGACTGGCTTCTGTGTCCCATTGACCCATTTCTATCATTATTTCTATACTTCTTTACTTTCTGGCATCACACCAAATTCTATGCTAATTTTTTACTTTCTCGGTGTCAGCCCTGGAATTAATTATTTTCCCAAGAGCCCTTGGTATTTAGGAATCCAGGTCTGGGTGCTTTTTGTGCACTCTCCCTCCCATCTAGTAGCCTCCATTCTGCAGTATTTCTAGGGTTTATTTGGCTTAGTTTTTTGTTTGTTTTGTTTCTCTATATTCCACACGTGAGCGAAACCATCTGGTTTTCATGTGTCTGTTGACCATTTGATATGTGTCCCTCACTTTCTTATTTATTTCACTTAGCATGATACCCTTCAGTTTCATTCATGTTGTCTGAAATGGGGAGAAGTGAAATTTTTTTTATAGCTGAGTAGTAGTCTACCACGTGCGTGCACGTGTGTGAGTGTATGCACACACAACATCATCTAATCTACTGCTCTGTTGATGGGCATTTACAGTTTTTCATAGCTTGGTTATTGTAAATAGTGCTGCAAAGAACATAGGAGTGCATGTGTTCCTTTGAATTAGTGATTTTGTATTCTTTGGGTAGACAGCTAGGAGTGGGATTGCTGATTCAAACACTAGCTCTGTGTTTAGTATTCAGAGAAATGCCATACTGTTTTCCACAGGTACTAGATCAGTCTACCTGCCCACCAACATTGTCCAAGGCCTCTTTTTTTCTCCACATCCTCAGCAATATTTGTTGTCTTTGACTTGGGTCATTCTTAGAGGTGTGAGGTGGTAACTCACTGTGGTTTTGACTTGCATTTCCCTCATGATAAGTGACATTGAAATAATTTCCTACATTGTTTACAGAAAGAAGATGCGTAATGGTCTTTTTTTTAACTACTTAAAGGGAAGTTACTATATATAGGTGTAGGAATAATTACTGTGAAGAGTCTAGTATTTTAAAACACATTTAGTTTTTACTTACAGCTAGACTATTGTTTTATTTTTAAATGTGGTGGAACTTCCAGCTACCTTAGGCCACAGTAAGTAATGAAGGAACAGGTAAGCGCCTTTCCAGCCTTAGTATACAGAGCCTGCGTTATCTCTGGTCCGGTCTGATGCACATACTGTGGTCTGATGGGTGGTTCTTCTCTCCCTGCAGGCCTTGTGTAGAATCACTCGCCATTCTCCTACTGCCTTCCAGAATGTCATTGAGAAGGTGGGACTGAACTCGGTGATAAACTCCCTGGCCTCCGCCATCTGCAAAGTTCAGCAGTACATGCTGACCTTGTTCAGTGCGATGCTGTCCTGTGGGGTTCATCTCCAGAGACTAATCCAAGAAAAGGTCAGATTTCACCTGTTACTCTATTGTGAAAGCTATTTTCTCCTCTTTTTGAACTTTGTTGGACTGCTGTACTCACGCCATTCATCTGAAGGTTTTCTAAGTGTGTGTTAGTGATTAAAATAGAAATCCAGCAAAAGGCTCTGTCTGCTTACCCTGTTTCAGTAATGGGGTTAGATAATTTATGAGTTCTTCCTACTCCCTAGTATTTCTTAGACCTCCTTTTTCTGTATCCTTTACCTGCCTTAGGGAGAGTCCCTTATGTTCTCAGTTTCCTGCCACTCATTTTTATTCTTATTGTTGCCTAAATAATTTACCAATACAAATAACTTTTAGAGCTGAGCCCCCTTTCTTCCGTTTTTGACTTAGTCTCCTGTTAATCCTTTTAGATTCCTTTATTTTCTCTGCAGTAGATTTTATAACTATTAACTTGACCTCACAAAACTGCATAGTTGTGAAAAAGTTTCTATAGTGACTTTTCTCTAGCTGATCAAGAATCATTTTTGACCAGCGCATTGGCATCACCTGGGCCAGTGTTGGAAATGCAGAGTCTCAGGCCCGCCTCCAGACCTCCTGATTCAGAAGCTGCCTTTTTATGAGTTGCATAGAATTTGTGCGAACTTTATGGTTTGAGAAGCACTAACCTAGAATGTTAGTGTTTGGTGACGTATTAACGGGTTAAAAAAAAGTGATTATGGAAATGTATGTTTGGAAAGTAGTGAGGAAGTGAGGGAAAGCTACTATTTTATTTGTTCAATCTTTCGGTTTTTCCTATATTCATGAGTGTTATGAATCTTCATTAGTGTCCAGCATTATAAAATTTGACTGGACCAATTGTCCTTTTCTCAAGAGGAACCTTTCAAATTGGAGCTCTGTAGAACTTGGTGAAGGTAACACAGTTGAAGATATACAGTGGACTCGCTTAAATGTAGCATTTGCTTTGGATCTACACTAAATGCAATGTGTTAAATTTTAGTTTTTATAAAGTTAAAATTTCAGTAACTAATAGAACAATTCTCAGGTTTGCCTAGTAAACCTAATCTGTGAGAATCAAAATATTAAACCATGTCTTGTCTTCACTCTAAATAGCTTTAGAGTCTGCTAAATTTGAACCTCAGACAAATTATTTTTTCCACCAGTCTCTGTATCTAATTTTTCCTGTTAAATTTTTCATGTCATTAAATTTGATATCATCATATTGGCAAAAGTACCACTTGAGTAGTTTTACTGTGTAAGTTGTGATAGAGGCTGAGGGTTTTAACAGTTTTTTTTTTTAACCCTAGCACCAGGCATGTATTGATTTAGTTTCAAACATGACATTTCATGAAATAGTAAAATAAGATCTATTAATTAATATGATTTTGTAATTGTTTTATAATGTGTAGTACTTCATGTATCTTAAAGAAACATATGATTGAACAATTACATGTGTCAAAGGATAAGTTTTTGATTCTGATTAGTATTCATGTTTAAACATTTTTTATTGTAAAAAACAATTTAAAACTTACTATCTTAACCATTTTTAAAGTGTATAGTTGTAGTAATAAGTACGTTTACATTGTCTGAAACAGACCTCAGAACTTTGTCATCTTGTGAAACTGAAAAGCTTTACCTACTAAACATTTTGGGTTTTTAACACTCTGACAGAGGCAGAAAGGAGGGTGCTATATAAACTTAGAGGATGATACTAAATAGTACCATTCAGTATACTTCATAGTTATTTAGAGTTAGCAAACAGTATCTCTGATTGTCCATTTGAAATATGTACCTGTAGCCAGATTTTCATCTTAACATAGATGAAACATAGATAGTCTGGTAATATTATTCTCTTCTGAACATGCTGATGTTCTTGAGTGGATATTGATGTATTGGAGGACTTTTCAGGTCACACTCTCATCTGCATTAGGTTCTTGGGGGGTCAGGGTTCTTATAGGATCATTACACAATGGCTATTTGTATGAGCGGTACCTTACTTATTTTGTTGTCATCTCTAAAGGGTCTGCTTGCCCAGAGATGTGCTAAATGGCAGGAGATTCCTTTATCCAAAGCAAGAGTCAGTGCCTTATTCTTCGGTGTAAAAAGAGAGGAATCACGTCTTGGCAACAGGAGACGCCCCAATTACAAATCATGTGTTCTGCATGTCCTACTAGTTAAGAAGTTGGGAGAAACAAGAAGTCTCAAACCATTATTCTTACCCCCCAAACCTTTACCAGCATGATTTATGAGCTATTGGTAGATGGTTCTTTATATTGTATTCCTGTATCATTATTATGGAGAATTGATACCTCTTTCATAATTCAGATGCTTAAATGTCTGTAAGTGAGAGGCTTTTCTCTCTCTGTTTTGATTTATATTTGCTTTCGTATGGTGAGTCAAGATGCCTGAAGTCACATGGTAAATTATATCTTTTCCTTCTTTTCAATCTTTATCTTTTTAAATTCTGAGAACCATAGTAAATTATTTCTAGGCTGTTAAAAGTTGCTGCTTTCTTACTTTGGCTCAGAAATCATGCCAGTTACAAAATCTGCCGTGTCTTGAGACATTAGCATGTCTAGTAGAAGAATTTAGAAAGCCTGAATAGAGCAGGAACAGAATATGAAAAGGTGTCTATTTCTACCAGTATGACTAAGATAGCCTATACTCTTGGTCTCTAAAATCTTAGAAATACTGTGTAGTCCTTGCAAAGACAAATTTGTAAGAAATTCATAAAATACCTAGAAGCTAACAATGAAGATGGAGTGAAAATCAGAGGCTACTGTGAGAGTAATAGAGCTGTATCCTTGGTTATCAGAGGGTGTCTCTCTGTGTGTATGTGTTTAATAAAAAGTTTCAAATCTAAAAAAATACTGAGAGAATAATATATTACTCCTCAGATATTTGTCATCATCAGAGTTCAGTATATGGCTGATCTGCTCTCATTTATGCTACTGTTTTACTTGTATGCCAGTTTTATATACTACTCTTCCCTCTGAATTATTTTCCATCTCATTTGTAATCCCTGTGGGCTCCTCTGAATTATGTTGAAGCAAATCCTAGGCATCATATTATTTGTAATTATTTCATATCATAAGGACTTTTAGAAAATCAATTCATAAGACTGTTAGACATCAAATAATCAAATAATAAGTTCTTATTTTAGCCACATATTCAGTGTTCACATTTCCTTGACTGACTCATAAATATTTTCTAGTCATGTGTTTGAATCAGCATCAAATCTTGTCTATATGTCTCTTTCAGGTTGATTTGTCTTGTAATTGTCTTTAAATATGTATATTCTCTGACTTTTTTAAAATAGAATAGTTTATTTTTACATCATTTTGTGCCTTTTACCATCTCAGTTGTAATCCCTGTGGGCTTCCCATCACCAAATCACCATCACCATAGTCCAGTGTGTTTCCCTCCCCCCACTATATTTGATCCCATTCCCCATTCCACCCCTGTAAAATGTCTCTGGTATATAGTTGTTCATCATTATCATTATTTTCTCGCCTGACCTGTTATAGTCCTGCTATGAGTGAAACCATATGCTATTTTTCCTTTTCTTTCTGGCTTATTTCACTATGATCTTTTCCAGCTCCATCCATGTTGCTGCAAAAGGCATGTGTTTATTTTTTTTTGGTTGCTGAGTAATATTCCATTGTGCATATGTACCACATCTTTTTTTTTTTTTTTAAAGATTTATTTATTTGTACATACAGAACTGAGGTACAGGCCAGAGGCTCAGGGGCGGTGAGAGGCTTCACCAGAGACAGAGTGGGGAGCAGAACAGGCAGATTTACGAAGTACACTGCTGAGGGGAGCAGCGGGCAGGTCAGGAGAGGTCTGCCGCACCATGTGGTCACCTCCAGGGCAGGCGGGAATCGAACTCATGCGGAAGTGGCTTTAGCTTCTCAGTGCTGTGCTTCAGCCCGCTGCGCCACCAGGGAGGGCCATGTACCACATCTTTTTAATCCAGTCATCTACTTTTGGGCATTTGGGCTGGTTCTATGTCTTTCCAATTGTAAATAAAGCAACAATAAACATGGGGGTGCAGGTATCTTTTTCAATCAGTGTTTTTGTGTCTGTTGGGTAGATACCTAGGAGTGGGATTGCTGGGTCGTAGGGAAGCTCCATGTTTAGCAGTTTGAGGAACCTCCAAACAGTTTTCCATAGTGGTTGTACTAGTTTGCATTCCCACCAGCAGTGCAGGAGAGTTCCTTTTTCTCCACATCCCGCCAACATTTGTTGTTGCTAGTTGTTTGAAGATGTGCCATTCTCACTGGGGTGAGGTGGTATCTCATTGTGGTTTTAATTTGCATCTCCCCTTATTACGAGTGATGTTGAACATTTTTTCATATGCTTGTTTGCCATCTGCATTTCCTCTTTGGAGAAGTGTCTTTTTAGCTCTTCTGCCAATTTTTTGATGGAGTTATTTATTTTTGTTGTACTTCATCAGTTCTTTGTATATCTTTGTGATCAATCCTTATAGCTATTTTTGTGTGAGAAATATTTTTTCCCAGTCAGTGGGATGTCTATTTGTTTTTTTGTCACGTCTCTTTTGCTGTATAGAAGCTCTTTAACTTGATGTAGTCCCATCTACCTATCCTTTCTTTCACTATCGTTGCGTTGGGTGCTGTATCTTCAAAGATGTTACTGAAGTGTATCTGACATCCTTTTTTTTTTTTTAAGTTATAAACTATTTTTTCCCTAGAATCTGGTCTATTTATTTACAGAAACATTATTTATATCACTGCACATGATTCAGGGGAATAGGATCACCCTACCTCAGAAGTGTATCATCACACCCCACCCATCCCAGAGCACCTGTCTTCTTTTATCCTGTACCATTGGACCCCTTGCCACTTGCTTTTAATCCCCTCAGCCTCTCCAGTGGCTTCGCCTGTGTAGTCACCGTAGCTCTCTCACCACCAAAAAGCTCATAGTCCTCCACTATAATCCATAGCCTCCCACCCCCAGGATACTTTCATGTGTCTGGCAGATGGCAATATTTTCATGCATCTCCT